TCTCCAGGCAAGATGTGCCCACTAGTGTTCCAGTAGCAAGTCCATTATGGGGTAACCAGCCACTTTCAAAGTGGATTTGAGGCCTGCTTCATAGGACAGAACCAGTGCTCAGTACAGGAAGCCTGGTCAAAGCCCTGTGGCTGGAGAGGTCATGGGTCTACTAGGAAGGCTGCCCAGATTTAAAGAAAGTAGGAGCAGGAGAAAGGGACAGAGTGTTGTAGAACAAGGTCTCTAGAAGGGTCTCTGCCCAGAGGTGGCAGCAACATTCATCTATGGGAATAAACATAATTACTTAGAAGCCAGTTTGATGGACACAGTGAATCCATTTAGCAAAACAACAGCAGCAGCCTTCCTAGTAGACCCATGACCTCTCCAGGCACAGGGCTTTGACCAGGCTTCCTGTACTGAGCACTGGTTCTGTCCTATGAAGCAGGCCTCAAATCCACTTTGAAAGTGGCTGGTTACCCCATAATGGACTTGCTACTGTAACACTAGTGGGCACATCTTGCCTGGAGATTCAACAAAATCGTTTGCAGGGTCCAATGCTGAGCAAGGCAGCTGAGGACAGTTTCCCTATCTGCGTAGCACTGCTGACCCAGTAAGGGCCAGTTGTCATGGAGAGAGCATCCAGCTCACTTCTAGCTTAATTTCTCCATGTCCTTAGACCAGAGCACGTGCTTGCTTCATCAAGAGGGCCTTACCATCTAGTTCCAGTGGGCAGCCAACAGCGGTGGCAATCACCTGTATTATTTTGGAGGCCGCAGAGGGATTTGTAGGGAGGTAGCCCATCCCTAGAAAAGGGATTTTCATTGAATAACCTATGGATTCTAGGAGTAGCTTTATTTCCCCATTCAAGATGCCTCCATTCAAATGGTTTCCAGCCTCTTTTAATGTGTGAAGAGGAAAATGAAAAGGAGTGGGTGATAAGTAAGCATTTTATCTTTTTTAGCGCTGCAGTAGACTTACATCATGGGAAAGAAAAGGAGTGAGCCTGCTTTTTCTATGAAGAAAGTAAAATCATAAATTAGATAAAAAATGAAGCCAAATGCACCTTGGAAACTCTCCAGACTCACCGATAAAATACAGTGCACCTGGTGTGTGTACACAGCCGCTGAACCAGGCTCAAGAAAGACAAGGGTATTTTGGCAGGAAGTGGGTCAACAGACCACGTTGCTTCCAGGAGTATCTGGAATATGGAGTGGGGTTGGGCAGGTCAATCTCTGTTCAGGCGCAGGATTTACATAGGAGACTTTTAACAAGCAGGGTTCATATAATACTTACTAGTGTGTTTTCTTGTTTGAAAGGGAACTAAATGAGATCGTGCAGAGCAGCCACTGTGTAGCCCACACAGGGTGGGCACAGTACAGCCGTGCAGGGTGTGCACAGTACAGCCATGCAGGGTGGGCACAGTACAGCCATGCAGGTTGTGCACAGTACAGCCATGCAGGGTGTGCACAGTACAGCCATGCAGGGTGGGCACAGTACAGCCATGCAGGGTGGGCACAGTACAGCCATGCAGGGTGGGCACAGTACAGCCTTATAAGGTGGGCACAGTACAGCCATGCAGGGTGGGCACAGTACAGCCATGCAGGGTGGGCACAGTACAGCCTTATAAGGTGGGCACAGTACAGCCATGCAGGGTGTGCACAGTACAGCCATGCAGGGTGGGAACAGTACAGCCATGCAGGGTGTGCACAGTACAGCCATGAAGGGTGGGCACAGTACAGCCATGCAGGGTGGGAACAGTACGGATCTGGATCTGATTGCATCAAGTTCTATAGTCATATGGTGTTGGAATAGATGTCCAGAAATCATGAGTAGCACTTGAGGTCGTCCCCGGCTGGTGGGAAGGGCGCCTAGTATGAGCTCGGAGCAACCTCTCCGCCCTTACTCCCTGAGTATCAGGCTTTCCATGTGTTTTGTGTGTTAAGAATTAAAACAGGACTAAGTAGGTTACCACAAGATGGCATTCTATTATTTCAAGTAATGCCAGGTAGAGAGAGCCTTGGTTCGATACATTTTTAATTTCTGAAATGCATTAAAATATGTGCCCTCCATGTCACAGTATTTAGCGGTTTCACACAAACCTCTAATTTCCTTCGCCATTCTTTATGGAAACTTGAGGTCTATGTCTGTTAACTCATGGAGGAAAACAACTTAGATTTTGCAAATGATTTTTACTAGAGTGAATAGTTCATGTTCTCATGTTTAGCTATTAAAAGTTCCATTTTCTTATAGCTATTTGCAAGGACTGTAAAATGAGTGACCTTTAAGTGTTTTCTACTGTGTTTTCCATGCTTTTCCGTCTATCACCCTGTCTTATTTTCTCTTAAGCAGATCTGACATATTTATTTACTGCTTTTGTTTGTTTCTTCAAGTAATGTATGAATTCTTTAAGAGGCTACGTGGTGTTCATTTCCTGACCACATCCTCAGTGTCTGGAACTCTATCTATCTATCTATCTATCTATCTATCTATCTATCTATCTATCTATCGTAGTTTGAAAGAAAACGGCCCCCATAGGCTCACGGAGAGTAGTGCTATTAGGAGGTGTGGCTTTGTTGGAGTAGGTGTGACATTGTTGGAGGAGTTGTGTTACTGGTGGACGGGCTTTGAGGTCTCAGAAGCTCAAGCCAGGCACTGTCTTTCCCTGCTGCCTGTGGATCAAGTTGTAGAACTCTCGGCACCATTTCTGTCTGCACGCCATCATGCTTCCCACCATAATGATAATGGACCAACCCTCTGAACTGTAAGCCAGCTACAATTCAATGAATTCCTTCATAAGAGTTGCCATGGTTATGGTGTCTCTTCATGGCAATAAAACTCCAACTAAGACACTGTCTATCTATCTGTCTGTCTGTCTATCTATCCATTCATTTTTTAAAAATATTTATTTATTTATTTATGCAATATTCTTTCTGTGTGTATGCCTGAAGGCCAGAAGAGGGCACCATTACAGATGGTTGTGAGCCACTATGTGGTTGCTGGGAATTGAACTCAGGACCTTTGGAAGAGCAGGCAATGCTCTTAACCGCTGAGCCATCTCTCCAGCCCCTATCCATTCATTTTTATCTTCCTGCCTGTTTAATCACAAGAAAGATGAAAAGGATCCTTATTTAAATGAATATCCTTTTTCTTAGTAGGTAAATATTGAAATGAAATGGAAGTGTGAAATTGCAGTTTAACCTGTAAGAATTTCACTGACAGTTTAGTGATGTAATCTGTGCCTGCCTGGCAATGCATTGTGTTTTCCTTCATAATTTAGTTTAGTTATCTTTCTACAACTTACAGTGTGACTGTAACATTTACTAGGATGCATTTATGGATATGTAATGAACAAGCTGGAATGCAGTAAAGGAAACAATTCCATTTCATGTTGGTGTAACAGGGCTAATTCGCACCCTGTCTTCATGGTTTAGGGAGTTGCGTGCATCTTGGATGTCTCTGTGCAGGAATTATCCTTTGTAGAGGGACAGACTCCGAGGTCCACCCTTCTCTTACCAGTGTGGATCTCTGGAGGGCTAAGCTTCATGAAGGTAGTCATTGTAATTTTGAGTCTTGCCGTCTAGGGCTGAACTGAGTGAATGCATGCACAAATGCATCTTTATTCTTATTCTTGTTTCTTTGGAACTCATACTGATAGAGTTTTATATTTCATTTAGAAGGATTCAGGAGTCCTGAAGCTCAAGTTCTCCAGGCAAAGGACCCCTTTTCCTTCTTCAGCGTGTACTGCTCAGTGTGTTAAGATGCCATTTGACCACACTATGAAGCTGGGGTCCTTGGGACAGGGCAGGGGGTAGCATCAGTCTCCAGTTAGAAGCCATTCATCATGTGGCTTTGAGAGATTCATTCATTCATTCTCCCCCTCTCTCTCTTCTCTCTCCACTTCTGAATAATGGAAAGGTTGGGTTAAAGTAACTCAGAGGTAACTTCAATATGGAGGCAGTCAGACAGTATCTGGGGTAAGTTACATTATCTCAGGTGCAGTAATTTTTAACTATTTTAGCAGGGTATTTAGTTTTTCTAAGACTGACCTCCCATATAGGCAATAGAAAAAAGTAAAACCCATACAACCTCATGGTATGCTTTTGAGAATTAACAGACCATGTATGTAAATCGAGTAGGTTAAAAATGGTAGCTATTATAAATGTTGATTCATCTAAATTGTCTTCCAGGACAATTTAATAAAAGAAATTAATTATTTATCAAATAGCTCCTGTGTGCCCGAACCCTATCCTTTTATGGTTATTTGCCTGAGGTACTAACACAGTCACCAGGCCATGGTCCAGGGCAGTAGTTAAATGAATTCTTTCTGTTTTAGACTGGCCTGTTTAATTCCTGAAACAACCCGATCTTCATCCAGTTTCTGCTTTTAAAAATTAGGGATAATAATATTATGTAACTCCTTCACAATGGAATAGTTGTTAGATAGGGTGGTATAATTAAGGCATTTAGCACAGGTCTGGCACTGAGAATATTCTTAGTTTATGTTAGTCTGGTTCATTATTATTGTTGTTGTTATTATTCATTTATTTATTCTCACCTCATTCTCTTCTCTGTTCAGGACTTATATAGGATCTAAAGGTTTTCCCGGAGACAGAGGGATGACATTGGCTAGGAGCCCTTATTGGATCTGGGCTCAGTTCTCAGTGCAGATGTGGTGGCTCACAATAATTTGTAACCCCAGTCCTGGGGGACCTGTCATCCTCTGATCTTCTCTTTGGCACCAAGCACTCACCTGGTGCACATACATATGCAGGCAAGACCACAACCCCTTCCCCCCCCCCCCGTTAAATAAATTGCCTCTGGATTTTATGAAAGCCCTTCTCACTTGTTTGAATGAGTGGTAAAACCAAGATTCTTGATTTAAAGCTGGGTTTTACTTAGAGGTTTCTTGGAAGATACTTTCTAGTCCTGCAGGTACCTGTCATTTCTATCAGCTAATTCATCTTTAAAGAGAATTTTAAAAGACTAACTTTTCATTATGTGTTTTCATTTAGTACCCCAACCCCATGGATAATAATGTCATCGCTGTAAAAACTGTGGAAGAAAAGAAAGGTAAGTTCTTTGAATATGGCCTACTTTAGTTATAGTCACTAAGGATTCTCACTTTGTAAGGGATACATGTGTGTGTGTGTGTATTTGTGTGTGTGTGTGTGCATGTGTGAGTATGTGTGCACGTGTGTGTGCATGTGTGAGTATGTGTGCACGTGTGTGTCCATGCACGTGTGAGTATGTGTGCACATGTGTGTCCATGCATGTGAGTATGTGTGCACGTGTGTGTGTGTGCATGTCTGTGTATGTGTGTGTCTATTACATCTCAGGCAGAACCACTGTCACTTTTTAAATTATATTTGATGGTAAGATTGAGGCCAGGCATAAAGGTGCAGGTAGCATGTTGAAGTATTTAATGTGTGCCAACATTTTTCATTAGCGTATTCAACATTTAGAATAATGTTTGAGGTAGGATTATGGTTTTTCATATTTAATGCAGGAAGAAACTAAAGCACAGAGAGGCTGGCTAACATACCTAAGCTCATTTGGCTGTATCTCTATCACATGTCAATTTGTAGATGGCAAAACAATCGTAGATAGCGCACAGATGAACCAGGCATGGTGTGGCTCGTGTCTGCAACCCCAGCCATTGAATGGTGGAGGCGAACCAGGCATGGTGTGGCTCATGTCTGCAACCCCAGCCATTGAATGGTGGAGGTGGGAGAACTAGGAATTCAAGGTTAGCCTGGGCTATTAAAAATAGCAGACAGATGTGATGTTGCCATAAATTGCTTAGATTGTGGAACCATAACTGTAGTTTGGCAAATTATGGCTTACGCTGTGTTGTTTTGGTAAGCATGGATTTGCTGCACATTAGACACTCCCTCTGTATGCTATCAATGGCTGCTTCATCTGAGTTACAGCAAGAACTGAGTATTTGCAAAAGAGACCACGTGGCCCACACATCTAAATTATATACCTCATGACCCCTTCAGGAGATGTTGACTGTGTTCCACCTCGGGGTGCGGGGTGTGGTGCTAGGGTCTCTGGTGCTCTTTGCATTCCCTCCTTCTGGGGAAGAATTGTGACAGTTAGTGTTGGGAATTGAGGAGTGGGCAGTGCCAGGAGCTCTGAACATGCGCACGCTTGAGGCCCAAGCCTGTGGAGACAGCCAGAGCCCAGCCCAGCACGCTCAGAATTCAGCCTTGGAAACCACGGGTGCTGCTGGGTGACATGGCTGCAGCTTCCTCTGCTGCGTCAACATGAAACTGTCTTATTTCTCGGGCTGCTTTCTGCATATCTGTAGCTATTGAACTAGATTGCAAAAGCATTTTCTCATGCACCTGTGTGATGTGGGACAAACTTGCTTTCTGGTCTGAGACAAACCTGATTTCGAATCCTGATTCTGTTACTTCCCTCATGACGGAACTTTTCAAAGGCTTAAGCTCTTTATCTGTCAAATGGTAAAATGATCTTGTTAATTTCAGGATGTCATCTCTGTCTCCATTTTATTTTTCACTATTTCACCCCGGTTGACCTGAAACATCCTGTGCTCACCAGGCTGGCCTAGAACTCACAGAGCACCACCTGCCTCTACCTTCCAGGGGCTGGTGTTAAAGGCCTGTGCCTCCATGCCTAGAAACAACTCCATTTTTAATACATGTGCTATTCACATTGTCTGACGTTGCCAAAGGACTGCTGGGGGTGCAGCATTTGTTTCCTGACTGCAGGTTCCTGGTGATGATGGTGTTTGCAGCAGGGGTTAGGGCAGCTGTAGTTAGAGCACCGAGAAACCTCGCCTTGTGTCTGAGTCACAGCAATTCACAGAGAAATGACAGCACTTCACAGTTTGCTTACCCCCACCCCGCCCCCCTGCTTCCTCTCATCTTCACTTGCACTTACTTTTATTCTCACTAGTTTTAACTTTCCCTCCAGGAATGCTCTGGTCTCAGGGCTTTCATTTTTTGATGGGTGTAACTCGTGTAGTTAATTAGTTACTGGTTTAAGTGAAACAGTCAGAAATCTAGGCATGAGACTGTGGTCCAGGAGCTGGCAGAGTCTGAGCTGGTGGCCACTGGATGCTCGGCACCGATGGCTGAGGGTGGTAGCCCGTTTGTGATTCACTGTCTCGAATTTAGCCCGTGTGTTCAGACTTGTTGTTTTACATCTACTCCTCGAGCATTTGTGATTGGGCTCAGAAAACTGATCTGAAAAACAGAATGTTTAAAAAAAAAAAGATTTCTTTTATTTTTACATGGTGTTTCTGTGTATGCCTGTGGTGAGCGTGTGCCCGGCTGTAGGTGTCTGAGGAACCCAGCTGTGCTGGATCCCTTGGAAGTGGAGTTAGAGGCAGTTGTGAGCTGCTTGAGGTGGGTGCTGGGAACCACGCTTGTTTACTCTTTACAAGATCAGTGAGCACTCTCAGCCACCGAGTCATCTCTCTAGCCCCTGGAAAACTTCATTTCGTGTCAAGCCTTATCTATGAGAATTCTATATGTTCAAAATTGAAGTTGAGCTAAAAAGCTCTGTGGACTTTTAGATAAGAATACGTCTCTCCCTAATTATGTTTTGGCTATGAAATTTGCTTCTTCCAGATGAATCAACAGGACTCATCTATAGAAAGAGGATTGCTATCTGCCAGAATGTGGTGCCAGAAATTTTAAGAAAGGTAAATTCATTTCCGAGTTTAATCACAGTGGGTATAAAACTGAGGAATTTTCATAGTGGTAGAAAAAGACAGCATTTTCCAATCGAAGGGGGTGTCAGAATGTCCCACTGTCCACTCTCATGGTTTTGTAAGGAAAATATTTCTTCCATGTCCATCCCAGTGTTGACAGATGCCTCTAGAGTGTCTCATCTCTGTCTGTTCTGTGAAGGGCCCTTTGTGGATATGAGGTGATTTGATGATTATTTTGTGGGTACTTTTTGGCATTTTGAATGAAGCGTTGTCTTTTCTAGTCTGTCCACGGCTAGCAACAGGTAAGAACAATCAGAAGTGAGAAGATTGTAAGTATTAGTCCCATGTTCAGTGAGGGAGTCCGCACTTCTGCTTGTAATGCACTGTTGGGCACAGCAGTTGTTTCTGAGAGCATCGTCTTCTTAGTGCCCCTTGCAAGCCTTTCCATGCGCAGTTCTGTGATCTAAGGGCACTGATGCCGGAATGTTCATGACGGAAAATTGTTCTCTCTCTTTGAAACCCTTAAGCTCTCTGATGATTCTGTGTTGGACAAAGGTAAGTTGAAAACATCATTTGCATGGCTTGAACCATACATGGATTTTTCTTCTTGAGAGAGGGCCTTACTCCATAGCCTAGGAGGGCCTGAAACTTAGAGTGTAGCCCAGGATGGTGTCAAACTGAAGATAATCCTCCTGCCTCAGCCATCTAAGTACTGAGGTAACAGGTGTGTCCCACCATGCCTAGCTGTTGAAGTGTGAAAAAGAATGTTTTTAGTCTGAAAATTTCATATGTATATGTGTGAACATATATATATATATATGTGTGTGTGTGTGTGTATGTATATATACATATATATTTATGTCTTGATCTTATCTACTCCCTTCCCCCTCCAATTTCCTTCAGAATCTCCCTCCCAGCTTCACGTTCCCCTATTTTTATTCTAATATTACTCTATTTTAAATCATGGAGTCCAGTTAGTGTTGCCCATATCTGCTTTGGTTTGTAGTTATCTACTGGGGCATGGGTACCCCTCCAAAGAAAGTGGCTCTCCCTCCTTTAGCAGCCATCAACTGCCATATTCCACAGCTAAGCCCTCCCCTGTCCATGCAATCTATGCTGGAGTTTTTAACTTGCTTGATCCCATGCAGATCTTATGCAGGTAAGCAGAGCTGGTGCGAGTTCATATGCACAGCAGCCATGGTGTGTCCATCAGATGACCTTCTACAGTGCTCTTCCCCTACATTCTTTCTCTCCTCTCTTCCACCATGTTCCCTGAATCGTGAGGTGTTTGGTATAGATGGCCCATCTGTGGCTGAGCACCCACTTTCTTTTATTCTCAGTACTTTAAACAGCTAGGAAGCTCTTCATTCACAATGTAGGATTTTTGATGGTGGTCTTTTAGTACGTAAAACAAGAGCATCTTGACAGGCACTTAAAAAATACCTCAGAAGAGATTCCCTGTGTGATCCGGAATGAATCTGGGCACCCGCGGATGAGCGTGCAAATTAAATTGCTGTGTTTATACTAGGAAAAATGGCAGCTTCCATTCATTTCTCATCGTGGGTTAAATCACTGTTATTTCCTTAGTGGAAAGAGGTTAGAACCACAAAGAAAATGAACTCCTTTTGACTTGCAGATGGGAAGCCGTGTTACACTTCAGCAGCAAATTATCACTGGCTTTTCCAGAGTTCAGAGCTGCCTTTGCCCTATATACACACTTTGAATCTATTATTTAAAAAGGCATTCAAGTTCGTCTTGTATCTCAATTCTTAAATAATTTAAGGCTCTAACTTGTACAGTTCTGCCTTTGTAGCTTTTGTTGTCTTCTCCACCTGGGAAAGAATCCATTTCTAGGGACTGAACAGAGATTACAACGAGGAAACATTTCTCTTGAGACGGCCCTGCATGGGCGCATGTAGGAGGGGCCTGATGAGAACCCATCACCGCAAGAAGGCCTGCCCCAGAGAAGACAAGAAGCAGCTGATAATTTTTTTGGGACCTACATGAGTCCTGGGCCATTTGCAAGTCCTGGGCAACATGTAGTGAGGCCACAGTGTGCTTGATTATCAGAGACTGAGGGGTGTAACTGAAGAACCATGCAACCATCAGGACCGCTTGTTCCGTTTGTTAGCTGTGACTGAGATCAGCTCCAGGCCGAGTCTTCATGTAGCTTGCTCTTCCGAAACTGAGAATGCTGTCCTCTCTCTGTTGGGCAGGTGAGTATTTTAAAGGTACCCGATATCCGACTAGAAGAGGAATCGTGGCTCAGTCTTCAGAAGAGGAATATGGCTATCCGGAGTCACTGCCTCACGTGGACACAGTATGCATCCATGAGGGAAGAGTCTGTCTTCCGGGAAAGTGTGGAAAACCCAAATTGGTAAGATCACCTGTGATTAGAACTCGCTCTCTCTCTCTCTCTCTCTCTCTCTGTATTTCGTACTTACAGTTTCTGTCTGATACACATGTATTTCATTGTATTTTTAGTCATGTCATTAATAGATGAATCTATTTTCTTTTGGAGGAAATATGACAGAACTCAACTCTTGTCCAAGTGCCCCTCCAAATTCTGGTATTTTCTTACTCTCTCCAAAAGCAATGACTATCACCCATTTGTTGAATATTCCTTTGGACCTTTAAAGGCAATCTAGGTATTCAAGAGTTTAAACAAGGAAAATACTTTGCTTGAAGTTATCATGCACTTGACCCATCAGTGGGCCTGTCTAGCACTGGTCAGCTCAAGCAGACGTAAAGAGGCGTTTCGGCATAGACTTACCTAGCCTGCTTAATTTGTATATCTTTTTAACACACATGATTTTTATGTCATGTACGTTTTTGTACACTTATCTTTTATGTTTACTAGACTGCTTCTGAGCTTTACCTATCTGATACACGTACAGCTAGATTATCCCTCTGCAAGCCATTCAACTGTATTTTGTCACTGCCACTATGGTAGACACTCTGATGGTATCGAGTTTCTCTTTGTTGTAAAGGAGGATATCATATTCAGGAGTTGTATGTCTTCTGAATATGATTCCTACAGGCTATGTGAGTGTTTCTCTTAGTGAGAATTTAAGTGTTGTATTTGTTGCAAGGTTATCTATAAACCATCAAATTTGCTTTCCCTAGCATCCAGTTCTTCGAGTAGTGACAGAACTGTACATAGAAAAAATATGACAAATTATGACAAATATGTATTGTTAACCCTGCAGGTAGACTAAATCTGCCTGAATCAGTAGGTGAATTCTATGGTGTGTAGAGGGTCACAGATAAGCACTGGAGAAACCAGGAGTGTTAATCAGGCAGGGTTGTCTCCTCAATGGAGTAAATGAATATCTGTTGTCCATCTAGACTGGGAGTGAATCTTGTTAATAACCTGCTGACTTTTGGTAGCCTACCTGTAAGGTTAGACCTCACCCAAATCCCCCAGAATGCTTATCCCAGACTCTCCCTCCCTAGACCTTTATCTTTAGCTTTGCTTCTCAGTCAATAGAAACCATCATTGGGGGAGCTGTCACATGTAGGGGAGCTACTAACTCCCATGCTATCTTGGTCAGAGACCATACCAGATCCCAGGCCCTTAGGCAATAGAATCCATCTTCATGGTAGAGGTCATGCATATTTTACAAAAGAGTTTTTATGTCGTCACATCTTAAGATTTATTGTCCACGTGGAATTGGGATGATAGTTACCAGGAATCTTTTTGCTAAAACTGTACTAGATTTAAATTTGTCTAAAATAACCTGGCCTCGTGTCAGACTCCAGAAGTTTGAAACAGTGCTGGCTAACAAAGTTGAGCTGAACCAAGTTTTCTTCTTTACCTCACCTTGGTGGTTCCCTGTGTCCATGAGGTTTACAGGGATCCCCAGAGAGTGCATGCCTTGTAGGTTGGTTTTAAGGCACTGTGGTGGTGGGGATTTTCAGGACAGGTATAGTTTGAGTTCTTGGAAATCTGAGTTTGAGATGTTGTCATTAGATACCACAGTCTTGATGGCTCCAGCAAGACCTGTGAATTTCTCATGGCCCTGGGGGATGGGAAGTCCATTCTTTGGGCCTTGGCAGATCTGGGGTGGGTGAGGCTTTTCAGATACCTGTCTTCTGTTAAATCTGATAATGGAAAACATGCAATCTGCTCTCCTCCTCCATGGAAGAGATTCCACGGCAGAATTCTACATTCAGGGAATCATGTAAACTTGACTTACTTCCCAAAGGCCCAGCGTCCTACCTAAGTCCTTCGCATGGTGGGTTAAGGTTTCAACACCTAGGCTGGAGGCATCTGGGTGGTACACAGCTTGTATCCCATACATGAGGCCTTCTATCCCTAGCACCAAAAATACAATGCAGTGCAATTCAGTAAAATAAAAATGACAACATATAAATTCTGGGGTACATAGACCTATGGTCTGTAACACAGATTCTGGCATGTTGTCTTCCAGTGTGTTAACACACAAGTTTGTACTCCACAACAGCACTCAGCAGAATCCATTTCCCTGTAACATGTGGCCTGTAGTTAATTAACACACATTTTAATTTTTATAAGTATAATGGGAAGAGAAACAATCATTTCTTGAAGACAAATTTTAAAAAATTCATATATTTTTATGCATATGGAATTTTTCCTACATGTATTAATATGTACCACGTGTGGGTCTCGTGCCTGTAGAGGCCAGAAGAAGGCACTGGATCCCCTGGAAGTGGAGTTATAGATGTGTCTGAGCTATTATGTAGGTGTTGGGAACCAAACCCAGTCCTCTGCAAGAGCAGCCAGTGCTTCTTAACAGCTGAACCCTCTCTCCAGTCTCCTTGTTTTGTTTTTGAGACAAGCGTCTCACTATTTACTCCTGCCCTCCAGCCATCCTCCTGCCTCAGCTTCTTTGGTGTCTGTCATCTTTTTTTGTCACCCCAAGATAGACTTTGGAACAAAAGTAAAACATCATAAGCACTAAATATTAATGCTAATCATTATGGTGAAAAATTTGATTTTAGAAGATAATTTACTGTGTTTTATTATTACTGTTCTGTGTGGTTTGAAAATTTTTATTATAGATTTAGTTTTAAAATGAAAGTAATAAAACCTTCAAATTAACTAATTGTCCCCGTGTAAAAGCCATTCTTAGGGCCCAGGCTTTCTCCAGATCATTCTTTCTCGCACAGCTCTGGTCACACATCAATGGAGCTAGGGTATTTCAACAGCCTCCTGGATGAGTAAGGAAGTGTGTCTCAGTCACATCAGAGAGAGATTGGTGGATCCATAGTTTCTTATTATGATGATGCCCAGAGCTGACATAGGGTGTGGATGGCTGGGATTAAAGCTGAGACCAGGGAACAGAGTTCTGTTGTTGGTATGTAGATATAGTAAAAGAATAGCATTGTCTAATTGCATGCAAAGTAAGTCTTTCATTTCATCCTCTATTTTAGCACTGTGTTTTGTTAATTTAGTATTATGTTTGGGCTATTGGATAGTCTTAGAAGCTGTCTCTATCAGTTAAATTATGATTTGCCAAGATAATCCACAAAACTTTTCACTTTGTGCTTTTTTAAATTTATGTGAAAATAATAATTCTGATTATGAGGAAAAGGTACATCACTATCACTCTGGTAACTAACAGTCAATTTATGCTTATTTATATACTTTTTACAAATTATTTGCCTACTACTATTCTTGGCCCATTTGTACTTGACTCTTAGGTTTCTGAATTTTTAGTTATTACGGTACTGTGATGAAAATCCCTGCAATTGCATATTTTATCACGTATTTAATTACTTTTTTGAAGACAGGGTCTCATGTTACCAAGGCTGGTCTTGAGTTCATAATGTAGTGAAAGATGACCTTGAACTTCTATTCTGCCTCTAACTTCCAAGTACTAGGATTACAGGCCTATACTACTACGCCTGGTGTATAGGGTGCTGGGGATGGAACCCAGGACTTGGTGTATGTTAGGTCAACGCTCTACCAACTGAGTTACAGCCCCATCCTGTTATCTATGATGTAAGACATTTTTTTTTTAATTTATTTATTTATTAAGGATTTCTGCCTCGTCCCCACAACCGCTTCCCATTTCCCTCCCCCTCCCCCGATCAAGTCTCCCTCCCTCATCTGCTCGAAGAGCAATCAGGGTTCCCTGACCTGTGGGAAGCCCAAGGACTGCCCACCTCTATCCAGGTCTCGTAAGGTGTGCATTCAAACTGCCTAGGCTCCCACAAAGCCAGTACGTGCAGTAGGGTCAAAAACCCACTGCAATTGTTCTTGAATTCTCAGTATTCCTCATTGTCTGCTAAGTTCAGCTAGTCCGGATTTATCCCATGCTTTTTCAGACCTAGGCCAGCTGGCCTTGGTGAGATCCCAATAGAACATCCCCATTGTCTTAGTGTGTGGGTGCACCCCTCGTGGTCCTGAGTTCCTTGCTCGTGCTCCGTCTCCTTCTGCTCCTGATTTGGACCTTGAGATTTCTGTCCGGTGCTCCTGTGTGGGTCTCTGTCTCTGTCTCCTTTCATCGCCTGATGAAGGTTAATATTCCTGAGGATGCCTATGTGTTTGTCTTTGGATTCACCTTATTTAGCTTCTCTAGGAACATGAATTATAAGCTCAATGTCCTTTATTTATGGCTAGAAACCAAATATGAGTGAGTACATCCCATGTTCCTCTTTTTGGGTCTGGCTTACCTCACTCAGGATAGTGTTTTCTATTTCCATCCATTTGTATGCAAAATTCAAGAAGTCCTTGTTTTTTACTGCTGAGTAATACTCTAATATGTATATATTCCATACTTTCTTCATCCATTCTTCCGTTGAAGGGCATCTAGGTTGTTTCCAGGTTCTGGCTATTACAAACAATGCTGCCATGAACATAGTTGAGCATATACTTTTGTTGTATGATAGGGCCTCTCTTGGGTATATTCCCAAGAGTGGTATTGCTGGATCCAGGGGTAGGTTGATCCCGAATTTCCTGAGAAACCGAAACACTGCTTTCCAGAGTGGTTGCACAAGTTTGCATTCGCAATTCTAATTTATAGTATGGATATTTGTATATATGGAAGGAGAGAAAATGAATAAGTATGAATGTGCCATTGAGGAGTTGTGTAAGCCAGGCAGATGCTCTACCACTGAGCTGTGGCCTCACTTTGCATAGTTCAAAATATAGAAACAGAAATTATGAAAATAGTTTAGAACTATTTACCATTATTCTGCAAGACTCTGCTCCATGTTTACATTTCGTGTTATTTCTGTACACCTTCCCCAGAAGTGCGTGCTTCCCCTTTAAGAGTGATGGGACTAGGAGCTTGCTATTTTACTTCCAAAGCCAGATTTAAGTCCAGGAAAGCAGAGTATTCAGAGCTTTCTGTATTTGGCATGGACAATCCCCCATATCGTTGTTGTCTT